GGATTCTCCCCCATGTTTCAAAAGCTCCAGGTGTTGGTAGAATTCATCTTTTTTAAAATCATCATTGTCCTCTGTTGGAGCATATACATTTATTAGGGATATGTTAAAAAAAATTGATTTGATACGTAAAACACATACTCTGCCACTTATAGGTCTAAAATCTGAAATACTACTGCTCAAGGATTTATCTACCACAAAGGCAACACCAAACTCTCTCTTCCCAATCTCCTATAGTCTGTTAATTGTTGCAGTAAAGACCAAATTTGTAATCCTTCTACAAAATCCGATGTAATTTCTCACTCATCCTTCCTTTCCGAGGCTTCCTTAAAGGGTTCGAAACTAGTATGTAGTTTACAGGGAGGGGTAGTTGGCCCCTCTCCCAACCCACAACCTGGAAGACCAGGGTATTTCACTTAGTCTGGGCCATCACCCTTGACCTGTCCAGCATGGGAGCCCTTCTGGTATCTGGTAGCTAAGCTACCACTGGCATAGCTCTCAGGATCACATGACCACACAAGCCCCACCGCTATGATAAAGTGGAGATACCTATGGGGGACATGTTATAGTTAGAAACTGGAAATAACTTATCTTTCATAATTAGAATTTATGATACACATGCACTCGCTTGCTTGCTCATGTGTTGTGCCACACAAACATATTCATCATTGATAGTTTTGTGTACTCGAAATTCGAGAACACCTTTACAACTTTTGGTGTATTTTATGTTAGAAATATCTTGCAGATGGAAGTTTTAATACTTGTTTTATAGAAGCTAAGAAACTCTGAACAATATCTCAGACATTACATATTAGCCTTAACTGATATTAATCAGAGCCCGACCACAGTATGAACATCAAGCTTTCAGTCTGCTAACAACCTTTCCAAGTAAAGAATTAAGTGATAATGGTCAAACACTGGATAAAGCAGAGATTCTAAATTCTGCAATTCTGCAGAGGTTAACATAGATTTGTCTAATTATGTTAACTCCCAATATGAAGTAAGGTTGGCTTATTTTATAAGTTCTCAAAATGAAATAATATTTTTTCACTAAATATTTCTACTATAACTGTTCTGTTAACAATGAAACCAGTGCTTCTATACTTCAGATAGGTGCTGTAATGAAAATTATGTTTATTAGTATTTAAACTGTTAACTTTACAGTAACTGATATGTGCTTCATGAAGTGTTTACTTAGCTGTCATTGACTACTTACAAAAATTATAGCTTACAGTGTTTCAAACACACATTACTGATTTAAAACTTCTGTAGACGGACATAGTTAAAGGAGTATTAATTTACAGACTGGAGGAGACAATTAGTAGTCATGGTTGTGAGGTATGTTTAATACATTTGTTACAATTTCATAAAGTTGTGTTCAGTATGTCATTATGAAACCTTTTTCATATTGGAGAGTTCCTAATATTTTTGCCTAACTACAACTTGTCATCGAACCCTGGGACATGAGTATGAATTTGATAATATGTATGCAAAAGATGTATTGAATCTAGTTGAGAAATAAAATATCTTAATGGTCGACAAAGTTAAATCATTTCTGAGATACAAATTTCTGTGTACTGTATTTTAATTTGTTAGTGTTGTTCCTTATCTTTAAGCCATTCTTATATAACATAAACATGTCAAAAGGTATCTGCATTGGAGTTAATGCATCATTTTTTGAGATGGCATCCTGCATTTCAACACACATTATCTGAAAATATACAGGTTTTGTATGCCTTCAGAGAAAACTGTTTTTGGCTATGTGGTAGACCACATCCACGCTGCCACCTTCAGCTCATAATATAGACTAGGTAAGAAACAAAAACAATTCTAAAGCATGTTTCCCCCCCAAATAAAATGGTTTTTCTGCAGTCAGATTTGAACATGGAACCTTTAAATGGGAATATCAATGAACAACAAATCATGGAAGAGTAAGACAAATACCTGCCTTCCTTGTCCTTATGACCATGCCAATGCAGCACAAATAAAGCAGTCTTCATCTCTGTTTTGCCATGGGACCTAGTTCCACTCTTAGAAATGTCATTAACATTAATTCATGTTTTTCTTTAAATTAGGCACACATTGGTGTCTTTATTTAACATGGGTCTGGTATACATAATGTTAATGGAAGGTACAGAAAAAAAACATACAAGGAGGTTACAAATGATTGAGTATGACACTTCAAAAATTTTAAGCACTTGATTTTTGTTCTACAAAGTGTACAAATAATTCCACATGTTCTTCAGAAGATGTTATAGACATACTGTTGTCACAATAAAAATAAGAGTTACAGGCTATGATACACTGGATGTAGTGATGTGGTACGGCACGGGAATACCATGTCTGTGTCTGTCAAGAAGTAAAAAGTGAGTTTTACATAATATAATACAGAATCCCTGAATGATGGATATAATACTTCAGTTTATGAATGATTGCCTTCAGTACTGTTTTATATAAAAAAATTATAACCAGTTAAGTTACAGGCACAAGAAAGATCACTACAAATTTTGTGACTTTTATGTTCAATTGAATGCCTAGACTGTCATGCAACTGCTTTGACTAATTATTACCCTTAATTAAGATGACATAACAATTACAGAAGGTTTCACCAGATCCATAGTATCAGGATGAATTTAATCTTTATTGACAGTGCATCTTGGCTTATGACTAATCCAGCCGGCCATGCTTCATAGTATCCAAACACTGAAACACTAACCATGGAGTTAAAGCTCAGCCAGCAGTCCTATAGTATAGTGCATTAAAAACCTACTCCTGTACAATAAAGATTAAAATTTTAATTCTTTAATACAAATTAGTTTTAATCATGAGTCAAATACTGAACTCTACTCAAGGGCAGCCATAACGCCCATAAAACTACATCATGACAAAAGGCAAATTCTTTGAGCTATCTGCTCTGACTACATCATTTCCATTTAAAGGAGACAACAATGGGTCAATAATATGAAGTAGAATAAATATTTAAATAAACTTTTTAGAAATAATACAGTCATCAATAACATGTTATATTTTTTAGAAAAAGAAGATGGCTGTTTTCTGGGTTGTAGCGTTATAAGTCTGGATGAAGTTTTTAAACGTTCAGAGGTCCTTCCTGCCTCCATGAGTAGCACTAATAGTAATAGTTACTCATCGGCCTGATGATGGAGGCAGCAAGGACCTCTGAAATGTTGGTAAACTTCTACCAGACTACACAGTGCTACAACTCAGAAGACAGCCATCTTTGGACTCACCACTTTCAAATCCTTAAATCCTACCTAGAGAAAGAATTTCCCATGATACACCATGCTACAGTATGTCATTCATGGGAAAGGATAACTATGCTAGCACATTTCACTATGCTTCCATGAGACATTGCATATTATTTTCAACTTAACTTTGTTGATACACATAATGATCAGAGCAATTCCCTACAAGTCCACAACCTTTCAAATCTGTAAATCTGCAAAAGGCATAACAAAATGATCACAACTAAACATTTTGTTGAAAAACCTCTAATTAGTAATTTTCTGGAAGCCATACTATATATCATTCAGGATTTTAATTGAAAGTTTATAATACTGTGAATTACTGGAGCCCGGATTTTCTTTGTTATAAGGTTTTCATTACACGTACACAATACACAGTATTACACTGATACACATTTAATCTCTTACAAAATTAGTCCATACTACTATAATGTCAATATTAATAAAAATAAAAATGGCCATTGCAATTTTCTGTTAATAACTCTGATATAAAATTTAATTAAAACATGTCCACAGTTTCTAGAGTTGGAAAGAAAAAGACACATATGCCATAAGCTTTCTTCACACTATGACAGATGTATAACAATAATCATTATGGTTATTTTGAGGTTTTCATGATTTTCTTCAGTTCTTCTGGATGAATGCTGTTACAGTACCAAGGCTACAGCTCCTTCAAACTTACTATCATTTAATTTATTTCAATGCTACAAAATTCTACAGTTGATAACATTATCACTTAATAACCTACAGATAAACTTATTAACTTCCTGGTAGGGAGAACATTTTGAACAAATTCATATGAGTACACCTTGTCTCCCCATAAACCATCATTCACAGTATGTCATAAATATCTTGCATTTAATAGGCAACAAATACAGGACACTCAAAACAATGACCATAACAATTATAACAATCAGAGAATTATTGACTGAATGAACAGGTTATTTAACAACATTAAAGAAGTAACGATGTGCCACACCATATAAGTGTATGGGAAAGTAGAGGTATAGCTCCACACATTCTGAATATCTGTATTAAATAGAATAAAATGATTAGGTTCATGCTCCAACTGCTTTTATTCTGGAACACACTGAACAGGAAACTGGGTGGGCCTCACGCCCTGTCTGGACAAGGTGGCAAAGAAAAAGAATAGGAAAGGTGTACTCTTTGGAGTACGCTAAAATTCCAAAGGTGTCCTTCATACATCACAGCCAGTGACATCAGTAGGTTGCTTCATTTATAACAATAACTCAAAGGAACTGTGGGCTTACATCTCTCTTGAAAGGAATAACAAATGCAGCAAAGGTATCAAAGGTCATTGTTGTGAGCCAACAATGACATCCCCAATGTTGCAACAATGTGTTCCAACAATTGCATTCCCCAGTCACAACAATGTGTTTCATGAATGACCTCGAACCCCACTGTTGCAACAATATGCTCCAAGAATGATCCTGCTTCATGCAGACTGCTTAATTAGTAGGAAAAATGTGATGAACAGACAGATATGGACAGGCCCACAAGGTGTTCTCTGCTCACGCTAAACTGTAAAAACAACACATAAAAAAATCCCCACTGTGATTACAAACCACTTCTTCATCCCATAACCAGTCACTATACTTACTGAACTACCCCCAACTTCTAACAGTAGTCAGCTATTAAGGTTTAAAATGTAAAGGGAATGTAACAACTTGTCACACAAAAATTTGTCTGCAATAAATTGCACACAAATAAGCACATATTAGACACTGGTATACCAAGTGGGAGATCTCTGATCTACCCACACAGCTACTTGAGACTCTGGAGAAGTTAAAACATCAAAATCTAATAATCTAGTAGTTCAGAGTATTTCACTCTAAATAATATACCAATGAATAAAACAATCAATGAAGAGTGTAAAGATTTCATGCTCGAGTGGGTGAGATACATGTTCTGCAATTCATTTGAAATTGAAACTCATGTAAATAATCTACCAGAAGACCATGCCTTGAGCAATTTTGATCTCTTCAGATCATTTGAAAATCGCAGCATGGCAGGTTCATTAAGGTATGCTGTGTCAGCAAGGTGTCCCCCACTCTGGGAGCACAATGCATATTGATGCACTGCAGCTATTCCCTGAGACACATGCTGTGTTGTCAGAGCAAGCTGCTTCTTGCTGGCTAAGATCAAGTGTGGGCGATACACATAAAATGGACGTTCACTGCTACTTATTTTACTATACTGAGTTTTACGAAGTACCAAAGGAAATGCTGGTTCTGCTTGTTCATCATCAGGAAAGTCAGTACAGAATGTTATAGTTTGAATTTCAAACCTTGATTTTGTCTTCTTTCCAGAATCAAAGTCACCTAACATAGATGTAAGCAAGTGGTGATATCTGGGTACTATGTATTCTTCCCACGTTAAAGCAGCAACGTTATAAACTTTCCCCATAGTACGGAGAAGACAATCTTTCTCCATGACCATCCTAGCCACTGCTCCTGCTTGTAGAGATGGGAAAGGGAAGTTCCAGGGGAGAATGGATATGCCTAGTCCAAGATCCTCAAGCACCTCTGTACCACGGAGAACTGAGAGAACTGTATTTGGCAAACCTCCATCATATATAATATAATCTTTCACACCAACTAGCTGGTGGTAGCTTAAAAATTCTGCAACAGTCGACTTTAATAAACCTGGTGTTGAAGATGCTGTAATACAAAGAGCAGTGCTATTTAATGATGTAGTTTTCTCATTTGTGTAATGCACAGGTATAAAAGCTTCAGAAGGCACTGCATCATCAGTCTTGTAAAATGTGACTCCATATGGCACATCAGTAACACCTACAGCTCTGCAAAATAAATAGTAGCCAGTTATTCTGTGAATGTTTTTGTCTTTTAAAGCTTCATTAACAGTTTCTTTCATTTCTATTTTGGAAAAGTTGAATTTTCCTGATGTAGATGTGTCTCTATCTTGAAACCAGAAACTACAACCAAAATCTGGAGTGCTATTTCCAAATTCTACTGACAGAGCTTTGACCCTTCTTTCTTCAGACAGTTCCCAATATGCTGAGTAAATAAAATGTGTATTGCTGAGTCTTTGCCATGTAGGTATTGATTCTGTAAAACTTATGAATTTTTTACCATATGATAAATTTCCAATGGTACAATCATCAGAAGCCAAACCACTTTGCTGTCCTCCAGGTTTCCCAAAAAAGTTCAAAACCTCCAACACATACCGCAGTCTGTTGTATTCATGCCGATAAAATAACAATGTAACCACACTCACAAGTGAGATAATCACCAATGCAAGCTGATAGTATTTCTTCATAGTTGATGGAACAGCCTGGTGATGAGAAATAAGTGTGTTGCTGCCCTTATGCATGTTAAGTCTTCGGTTGTAATATTACTGGTACACAGAGTACAAAGCATTTCAAACAAATGGATGTTTTTTGTATAACCTGAAATACCAAATCAAGTTTACTTCAATTAAGGAACCAGAAAAGGAGATAAATTCAAAACCTAGTCAGTTCATGCACAAGTGTAGACTCAAGCAGAAGAGCTGGAAACTCCTACTCTCAAGTTTGATTTATCCATAATGCATACATTCACTTAATGGTCAAATCATTCGACATCAAATCAACACAGAAAACAGACATTTCAAACCCTTAGAATTTAATGACTTTTTTCAAAATTGTAGTCCCAATATAAATAAGTATCCTTGCCACATGGTACTGCTTTATGGCAACTACTTTTTTGGGAGCAGACATCCAAAGTTGTAAAAACTTATTTTCGGGCACAAGTTGGCTTAGAAACAGTGGCATCTTCTGTGTTAATTGAGCTGCAGACCTCATTTTAATCACATTTCAAAGTAAATAAAATGCCCTTTCCAACCACGTATTTACAGCACAGTTATATTTTTCATTATCTTCAAATTTGACCCTTGACCCTGCATTTCTCAAAATACATATAATATATAGTGTGCATGTAGCAACTGTTTAATATATATGAAAATATCAATTTGGGACTGCAATGGGATTGGGTTTTATGAAGCATTTTATTGTGAAAATCACTTCACCTGTATTGAAAAGGAAACTTAGAGCAACAAGAAAATGTCTCTTTGTTGTGTTGATCCGACATGCAATAACCTAGTCATGTAGAAAAATGACTTTTTTTGTAGATGGGAAACATCTATCAAACTATTCACTGTAATCAATCAATTTGTACTGCAGAAAAAAATCCCTAGAATTTACATCAATTACCAGACTTTTCATTCGGTATTAGCAAAAATCTAATTTTATACAGCACTAAAAGAATATGAATTATAACAATGAAGTCTGAGGTATTCATGTAGAAAGTGGTGCACACAACATTTATGAGTTTATAAACAACCACCCTACCAATTTTCACATCTGAGGCTACAAATCACCGAAGGATGAAAATAAGAAATAAGTCTGCATTGTCACCATGTTGTTATTTCTACTCTACATAAAGTTTTAGAACTATACATTATTGCTGTCAAACCTGAGAAGTCCAAACAGCCACCACGTCTATACTATGAAGATGGAGTTATGAATAAAGGCAAGCATGGAAGTCAAACACCACAATCCGCACAATTCACACACACACATGTACACTCAGATTCCCTGATAAGCCTGGGGAAGGATCAATTCAGATAAAAAGCTTTAAAATTTGTCCATGGATAGGGTATTAATGTTTCCCATGATACTGAAATAAAACCACAGATATGAAACAATGTGGTTAGTGATTGTATGACATGGATCTTCATATTATGAGAAGTTGAAAAATTATAAATCCACAGTACTAATCAGATTCTGGCTGAACTGATCAAAGCAGGAGGCAAAACGTTAAATACCAAGATACACAAACTTATTCCCTCTATATGGGATAAGGAGGAAAAGCCACAGCAGTGGATGTAATCTATCATTGTAATAATTCATAAAACGGGTGACAAGAATGGCTGTAATAATGATAGAGGAATATCCATCCCTCATCATCTGCATACAAAATTTTATCAAACATTCTTCTGGCGAGATTGGCTCCATATATCAATAAAATTTTTGTGGATCATCAAAGTGGCTTCTGTCATAATAGATCTGGGAAGTAGGTAGGCATTTCCATTTAAAAAGGTACATGTAAAAATTATTTTCATTATCTTTGTATTGGAAATATAGAGGTTATAACCATTTCTCAATGCCTACTTACTTCCCACCCACACTGTATAACTGATAAAATATTCTACATTCACCAGATACTAGAGAGAATGTGGAACAGTACATCAATTATTTATAAACTTCAAGAAAACCTGTGACTCAGTTCAAAGGAAAGCTCTTTAGAATATTTTCCTTGAATTTGGTGTCCCTTAGAAGCTAGTCAAACTAATTAAAATGTGTTTAAGTGAAACCTCTAGCAAAATTTGTGTAGGTAAACATTTCTCTAAAATATCTCCTACTCAGAATAGCCTGGAACAGGGAGATGCTCTATCACTGTTGCTCTTAAATTTTGCCTTAGAATGTGCCATCATGAAAGTCCAAACAAATCAGGGCGGTTTGGAACTGAATACGACACATCGGCTTTTGATGATATTAATCTGTGGGGCGATATTATAAATACTATAAAAGTGAAAACATAAACACTCTTAAGGGCTAGTAGGGATGTTGGTCTAGAAATAAATTCGGAAAAGAAAAAGTATACGATCCTGTCTTGGTATCAGAATTCAGGACAAAACATGAATATAAGGATAGCTATTGAATCGTTTAAAAACGTAACAAAATCCAAACACTTGGCAATGACACTAATAAGTCAGAATGACATTTATGATGAAATCAAGAGCAGATTCAATTCAAGGAATGCTTCGTATCATTCATATCTGGACCTAAGAGGGAGGTAAATAGATCATGGCGAAAACTGCATAATGATGGGCTTCATAGCCTGTACTCCACAGCGATTAAATCAAGGAGGATGAGGTAGGTGGAACATATGGCATGCATGGTGGAGGGGAGGGCTGTTTTCAAGGTATTGGTTTGGAAGCCTGAAGGGAGGAGACTGCTGGGAAGACCTAAGTGTAGGTGGGAGGATAACATAAAGATGGACCGATGGGAGACAGGAATCGATGAAGTGAACTGGATGCAGCTAGCTCATGATATAGTCTGGTGACAGGCTTTTATGAACAGTGATGAAACTTCAGGTTACACAAGGAAAGCAGGCTGTTCTTTCATAAGCCAAGTAGACCATCAAATTTTCAAAGACAATCCTGCACCATACAGTGAAGTGAGTCAGTGATTAGAGAATTCACGGCTTTTTGAGGTAAGTAAACATTAAACATATTTCATGTAGTTTTATTTAAAGATAATAAAAATAGAGTTGAGCAAACCTGTTGAAATCAAGACTACAAGCTAGAATTTAATTTACAAACAATAACAAAATCTATAATTTAGAACTGTCAGGCCATATCACAGTATAATTTTGTGAGTATATCTGTAATAATGCTAACCATATGATGGCCTTGGGTCATTACTGAATTTCAGATGAGCATATTTAAAATGTAATTACACTTAATATTTAAGTGTAACAGTACAGCAACAAGTCATGCTACATGTTTCAGCACCAGTTGAGCCACATCACTATCACAAATATTAATGGTTTACAAAATGATAATGGTTTATCTTTTTGACCAGTACATTAACTTCAGTAAATAACATTAGACATATTCAATTTTACAAACTTCAACCAAGAAATATGCAAAATAGGAAAAGTAGCCTTTACTAAATGGTTTACATTGTATATTTGTTAATACAAGGCAATAGCACACAAATTTACATCTGAATTATTTAAACTGTGATTACATTATGGCTGAAATAATAACTTCTTCTGTACCTTCCATTTTTGGTGTTCTATATTGTTCTTCAAGAAAGTGTGTGTGTCTTTATTTGCGATTTAACAACACAATCAGTCGCTCAGATTTTATAGCATTACTTGCTAGATTGAACTGAAAATGATATGAAGGGAAGAAGCCATGGCATAACTGAAACCACTCTCCTTACATCAACCTGGTGTGATTGAAAAAATCCACAGAAACCATCAATCAAGACAGATGATGTGTAGACCAAGATTACAACCTAGGACCTAAAGTATTGCCCATTTTGTATTTTATGATAGAATGGTAACATGAGGAGATGGTAAAATTAAGAACACCTTGTTTCAGTTATGAATGCATGATATACACAAAGACCAAACCTTCAAATCTTATTTCCAAAGCAACGTGTATAAACATGTTTTGTAATGTCAATGTCCTTAAAACTCCATGATGCAGTACCTGACACCCATTCCACTGGATACAAAATTACCAGAACTTTACAAAGAAAATGGTTACGATTGATCCCTAACCACAACAAATAGAATACATTTCAAAAAAATCATATTCTCTTTCCGTAAGATCCATTTTAATACAATTTTCCCACGCATGCTTTTCCGATGACAATTTTGTATTAATTTCTCATCTCCTCCATGCCTCTAACAAATGTGTAGACCACAGCACAAATTCCTGAGCACGTACGAAGTAAAATGTATACACATATACCAACTTCTAACGAAAAATGTTACTTCAGTCACACAAAATTTCTACTTTTCAGTTTACTGAATGCAGTACAGTTTAAATACTGCCGCAGTGCGCAAATAGGTTTTCTCTACAGTTTACTTAAATCTTTACAGTTCATTTTGTCATTCAGAATAGCAGAAATACTTACCATAATAACTGTCCAATGTCCCAAACCACTTTCAAATTCATACAAAAAGTCATCAAACACAATCAATTATTCCCTTCAAGTCATACTATATTCTCACATTATGATATGTAACTTCCTACGATTCTGCCGAGCTAACGTAGATGTGTCCATCCAATGCCTATGCTAACAACGGGGCACTGAACGAGTGCGGTCACCTATGTACCATAGCCTAGTAAGCTCACTGGTATCGTGATTGGTGTATGCAGTAGCCCAGTCGGTATGGTTAGCTACTTCCCTATCGTCAAATTTCTTCTGTTACTTCATCCAGTTACGTTACATTCCAATAACAGTGGGACCAAGGTTCCCTACTTAACGTTGAATAACGTTTAACTGAAGTATATCTGTACTGAAATAAAATTTTATTTACATATTAATGTATACCTTTACATTATTTATTTACCCAAAGAATACATTATTTATTTACACAACAAATTATATTATTTATTTTACCCAAACATTACATGTCATTTTACTCAGTAACAACTTCACAAACTTGGAGTACCTTGAGTTGTGACACTAAGTATTTCACTAGTCGCCATCATGTAAGGAGTTACTTTCACTGTTTCCTTAAAATTTCCAGGTTGTCCTGTGCCAGTCCAGGTCTGTGGTTCAATTCCCGAACGGACTGGGCCTTGAGATGAAAGGTAAACCAGGCTTCGGCATGTTGATCTGGCTTATAAGAAAAACGAAGCAGGTGTAATTACATGATTTTTGGAACGCCTTACTTCACCTAAATTAGACTGAATGCTTAATTTTGGCTTTGTAAACACATTGAGTTGAAGGAATGTGGCCCACATGGCCACTTGCGGGTCACCCTCCTAGGCATTCTTTCTGTCCCAAGGGAGCCTGGAGTAGAAAAAAAAAGGCAAACATAAACCAACAAAGAAAATACTTAAGCCACCCCACAATGCCACTCCTGCTAACCTAACACCGGGTTGAAACTCTGGGCAATGGAAACCGGCATATGCCTGCAAGACCAATTAAAATAAATTAAAATGACTCTTGAAATTTAAAAAAAATCAAATATACAGGAAGAAATCCAATTACTTTTATCATCCTATATCGAAGCAAGTATCAAAAAGCACACATATAATAAATCGAGAAAAATAAGATTTTATAAATCACACTGAAAGAGGAGGAATGATGAAACATCACAAATTTTCTAGTAAAATTAAAAAAGAGTAAGCAAAATAAATATACAGATATAATATAAAGGATATAATGCTACTAAGAAAAGAAACATGTTCATGACTTCCTCCAATTTTAGAGCGAGATCACCCTCGTATTTACGCACCAATTCAACAGAGCTTCATATTTCTATGTCTGGTGCTAATTTTACAATGGTGACCTCCTATGTAGAGATTTTAAAAGGTCATACCACTACAAAATAGAGACAAGTTATCTGATGCATTAAGGAGAAGTCACTTTACTGGCCAAAAAGAAAATGGGTTGATAAAAGGGTCCTGAACACGGAAGAGGGTCCTGTAAAGTAAAGTAAAGTTTGTCCCGCTATACGCAATGTAGGCTTCCTTGACCTCGGCAGTAGATGGGGGTGTGTGGTCAGCTTCACGCCCCGGCCGGCTTTACCCCGGGAAAGGACCCCGGTACCCATTGTAGAGGAGGCTGGGTGGGCTCCAGAGCTGGTCTGGACTCAGAGGCTAGAGGAAAAATCCTCTACCCCCATCGGGTATCGAACCCCGGTCGCCCAGCCCGTAGATAGTCACTATATTGACTGAGCTATCCCGGCTCATCAGCTCAAAAAAAATTAAGATAAATAATGATCTCACGCGTACCTTGTTCAGTTCTCGAAGCAAATTACTTGGAGTGTATTGCAAATTGCAGTTGCCAAGTTGCAGAGCATCGATTGCAACAACAGAGCACATTCGCCTACCACTACTGTCACGAGGAGTCATATCTTGATAATTTCCCATCCATTCAAATGTACTACTGTAACCTCTGTAGGTGCTCAACCGTTCACAACCTGACAAGAAACATAATCACTCCACTAATACAATAACAAAGAACACTCCATAAAAGTCTTCAGTGTGTATAAAATTACAAATACGTTTTCATAATGCTAAGTAATTTAACTCTGTTAAAGTTACCACTAGTGAAGATTTTTGATTCCTCAAAACTGTCAGGAAGAAACTCAAATGTCTAGTACAGTCCATAACTGATTCACCAACTGAAGAATTCAATGAAGATTTCGGCCTGATGACGGAGGCAGTATGACCTCTTAAACTTTGGTTAACATCTACCAGACTACACAGCGCAACAACCCAGAAGACATGGATCAGAATTTTACATTCTAAGTAAGAAAAACATACTGACACAGAAGCAAAGCACTGCACTAATTTATATGTTGAGCTGGTCTGTCTACATAGATAAAATATTTAACGGCATGGCAAGGCTTCACAGAACTCTATGCAGTTACTCAAACAATTGTTTATGATCAATAAATTTTACTTTACTAGAGCAGGACGCTCCTTCCGGAGCGCATTCTCTAATCTGATATTTTACTTCTTTACTTCGCTGTTCTTGGTCTGTCAACTTTCTACGATATATTATTCGACGAAGACGTATTGTTTCTGTTAAAATACTATGAGAAAATACGGAAGGGAATTTTTGAAGGCAATATAACAACACAACAAAGAGAGTAAACAAATGACGTAACATTTTTTATTCTATGATTTTTTCGAATAATAAGAGTGTTACACTTTTACATTTATCGATAAATTTTTTAGATTTTGTAATGCGATTATCGTCGAAGATAATCCATTCATCGTTATAACGTCGCCACGCCTTGAAATGTCCGTCGTTTCCAGTACCGTTAATGTCCACAAATTCTACCGCACTTTGCAATTTCCAATGTTTTCCATACATTAATTGGTTGTTTTGTCTCATTCTCATTATTTCAAATGTGCGTAGTCCATTTAGTGTCAATCTATTTATTTCCAAAATCTTTTGACGGTCACCAATAACAATATCTGTCGTTCCACGTACGTAGTGATGATGACATTCCGTACACGTTCCGTTCACATCTGTTTTGGTTTGATACTCCAATAAGTCTCTGAAGTTTGTCACGTTCGTTTGTGGTAAGTTCATTACCAATATTTGATTTCTATAACGTTCTTGACGTTGATGACCATTTCTACATGTTTTTGTATTCACCGTCTGATAGTCAAACATGTTTTGCATTTCAATTGGTAATTCCTCGAAAATGTTGTAGATCGTTTCGGACACACTTTGAAAACCTCTTCTCAAATGTTCTTTCAGTTTTTGTCGTATTGAAATGACATTATGTAAGTTTTGAGGATCTCTGTATCCGTTTGCAATCTCGGATATCAATTGTGCACCGTTGTTATCGCCGTCGTATTCATTTAATATCATTTCTTTTAGACTTTCGACGAACGTAGTAGCTGAATGCAACATGTTTAGTCTGATCCATTGGCATTCTCGAGTTTCAAATGTTCGACAGTTGTTACAATTTCACGTGTAGTCGTCGTTTCATTCCGCTTCACTCTCCGTATAGGTTGTTCATTCTCTTCATGAGTTATTGTTATTTTTTTCCCTTCAACTTTTACACGTTTAACTGCATATTGGTGGGTTTCGTGCCGGAACGCCGTCCGATGTGATATAAGCGTACGACGCACGATCATACCAGTGGAGTGTGGTGAGTTGCACGCATTTCTACTCTTACCTTGCCTTGTTAAATGACGCCTCCAAGAAAAACTACTCTTCCACTCTTTTACTTACTTATACCAAGTAATTGTATATTTAAGATTAATTACAAGCATCTTCTTGCCTCTTTATTTTGTGTTCTTTTATTTCCATTGCAGTGAAGCTTCAAAGACATTAATTAAAAAGAATAATTTCATAAATTACACAAATGCTGAGTCTCATGTACAATGCAAGTTGTAAAAGGATTCGACGAAAGATATGAAATTTGCCTTAAATACCATTTACAATAACTGTCATGGCAACCTGTCTGCTGATTTTCAACATGAAATGAAATCGTTGATCATCAGTGGATTACAACGTAATATATGAAGTATTGATCAGTGACGATGTTGGCTAATTGCGTTGTAACACCTCATGAAGGCGGACACACTGTTTGTGGAGGATTGGGGAACATACTGCCTCCTGCACTGCGTTGATAAAACCCAAAACACCAACATCTGTCTTTAGCATCGTACGGACCTGGAATGTCAATAATTTATTCTACATTTGTCTGTCATACTTGACGAGAGCACTGGTAATGTTTGAGCTTCTCTTCGGGTCTTCCTGATTTTGTCGTCCCACTGTATTCCACCATTGCTGCAAGTTAATTCTCACGGTCTTTGTCAAGTGCCACCCACCACAGTGTAGCAATTTCGGTCCACTGTTGGTGGTTTCAGATCTGCTCCAGTGGTTGGTCGCTTGAAGGACTTCACAACAGTAAACCAAATGACCCAAAGAAACTTAAAGCCATAACCTGTCGTTCCTGTAGGTGGAGGGGGTCGACTCGATTGGTCCGCGATCTGAACACGGCACGGCAGTAGTCGGTTACGACATTTACGTCATCGGTGCTACCGATAGCTCTGAATATTTAAGCTCATGTCGCTGCTTCAACGCTGTTACGAAGAAATGCCGCGGAGTGGCGCCTATGCATATCGGTAACTAAGGAACTCCTTGGAACAGGGTCCTTCTACAAAAGTTGATAGTCGCTCCGTTAGTCAAAATATAAATGTGGGCAGGGGTTGTAAAATTTTACCACTTACATACAGGAGGACTTTTGCGACAATGTTGGTTTTAAAAATACGACTTCCTTGTTAATTCATTTGAATTATGATTTAACAATGCCGAGCGAACAATTGCGTTCTGCGAGAGGAAATGCATCATAATCAGCAATAAATGAGCACAGCAGAGTCTGTACTTTTATCGTTTCAGACTCATTTTAAGTGTGTCAGTTTTGCGAGGTGCAATATACGCCATGGGCGGAAACGAACATTGGGATCACAGAACAGCTGAAAGATACGACAGCAAGACGAACCAGTGGTTGTGGATTGCTCCCATGAATACAGCGCGATCTCCCTTTCTTTTAGCTATGCTTAATGGTACGTAAATGCCGTGAAATAGGAATTTGTGTATTAGTGCG